CAGAAGGAGATTTTGATGTAGATATCGGAGCAACAGGAACGCCAGAATTTAGAGTATTAGGCAGTAGCGTTAATTTTTTTGAAAAAGCAAGTATTACACATACTCAATTAGCGGGACCAATAGACCAAATATTTTTAAGAAACCCAGATACAAACGGAGACACAATAATAGAAATAGGAACTAAAAATGTTTTGACAGTTAATGATGGAGGTATTGATGTTATAGGTGATATTTCTTATACAGGATCTATTGGGCCAAGCAGTGATCAAAAACTGAAGAAAGACATAAAAGAGATCAATTGTAAAAAGGCAGTAGAGCTAGTAAAATACATTGTTCCGAAAACATATAAGTTTATTGATGCAGAAAAATACGGTAATAGATCGCATGTTGGCATGGTGGCGAATGATTTTATAACAGATAAACTACCGAAAGAATGGGGAAACATTGTTAGAGAAGGAAGAGATGGATATTTGAAATTTGATTATAGCGCTACTACAAGTATTTTATGGAGTGCCTTGCAACATGCCCTTAACCACGTTGAAAAACTTGAAAAGACGATGGCAACAATGAAAGGAGAAATAACAAAGCTCAAGAAGAAAGTAAAAACTAATAGCGATAGCGATTAATATAATATAAGGTATTGTATATGAGTGAGTTTGAAAACCAGTATAAAGTCTGTATGGAATTAATAAAGCAAAAAAGCAGGGAAGTATCGGAAACGGATATATTATTAACTGCCATGAAAGACCTATTAGATAAATTACAGGCAGAAGAAGACAAGGTAGAAGCATTGAAAAAGAAAGAGAAATGCCCGTGTTTTAGTTTTACTACTTTACATTGTTGTCCAGTATCATTGTTTTAATAATTAATAATATAATTAAGATATTATTAAGTATCATCAATTTGTATATACTTTTCAAAGCGCACCATGAACATTTTATTTATGTCTGGTTCCATCAAATTTACATATAAGAAACTGTATGGTTCCTCTGTTGCTAAATTGTATATTTCCAACAATAACTGTTTTGCTTGATGTAAGCTCTTCATATCTGACATTGCTTTTTTGCTGATTAAAACACCCGACAATTCATCTAAAACTGCTTCAACTTCTTTATAATTTCTTAGTTTGAAAAAAATTAGTTGTCTTGAATTAGTTCTAATAGTTGTGCTTAGACCGTTGTATTTTTGTGATGAGCTTATTATATTCCCTCCATAATGTCTTGCTTTGATATATAAAGCATTGAGTAAATTATTATGTTTTGCAAAAGATGCCTGATCAATAAAATCGTCTACCAGGAATAACACCGAAAATAATTTAGTTGCTCCATTCTTCTTCTGAAACTCATTAATCTTATGTTGTAGGTTTAAAACCTTTTGCATTTCATCAATATTGAATGTATCAAAATATACCTTTTCTTTTTCTGGATTTACTCCAAGATCATTTTCAATATATTTCTTGACAGGTGCCCATACTGGATCTAAATCTATTGAACTTGACCATATAAAAATAAGAGAGAAACACCCCCTATAGATATTCAAAATTAAATTTGAAAGAAGCACTGTTTTACCACTTCCCGACTGACCAGTTATAACCATTGAAAAAGGAATGCGAGGAGCTACATCGTATTTACTTTGTGTGAATGTGTATTCTTTTGTTTTATATGGTTTGACTATTGGTATATCCATTATTTAAGCAGAGAAAATTATATATGATTTAATATAATGGAGAAGTATTTAGAGACAATAAATGATATTGAGGAAATTGAGAAAGTTGTAATACACGACACAAAGCTTAAAAGGTGTTGCACCGCTTCTTTAGAATTGCTTAAAGCAGTTCTTGAGTATTTAAAAAAATCTAAGAAAGTATAATGAGCGACAATCATAGGGAAACTAATGAAGGTGGGTTCCACTTAAACACAGATGGATTAAACTGTTTACCTTGTAAATGTAGAAAAAAGACTTTTCACAAAGAAACTAAAATAAACAATGAAGGTAAAACAATAATTGAAGATAGGAGTAGTTGGAAGATGGGAAGGGGAATATCCCCCGATGAAAACGCCATATTCAAAACCATCTCACCAGATAATGAAGGTGTTGATACAGTGACAACCGGGTGGGGATCAAGAAAGCCTACGCCAGAAGAGAGACTAGAAAAAGTGGAGGAGGAAGTTGAAAGGATAGACAAAGATGTAAATATTTTGAAGAATAATTTAAATATTATGGATTAAAATCTCGTGTATAATGACAGGCCATCTTGGCATATAAAAAAGTCCCCAATGAAAACAGAAGAAGGAAGTGAGCCAATGCCCCCGTGCCTAGCAAGTTCTACAGGTTCATAGGCAGACCATAAGAGTTTGGTAATGACATTAATTCATAATTAGTTTCGTTAAATCTTAAGGTAAAAATCTTGTTATAAATAGTTGCATTTATAACAATATTCTAACATATAATATTAATAATGCCAATAAAAGTAGATAAGATATTAGTTGATTTTGAACCACATACTGAAACAAATAATGTTGTTACTAGGAAGTGTTATCGTTGTAAGCAAGTCAAAGACATAGATTGTTTAAGCGTTGCTATT